TCTGTCAAATAAATAAATAAAATCTTTAAAAAAAAAAATTAAAGCCTGTTAAATAGTATATATGACATTAAAAGAGAAAATTTAATGGTTCCTAGATCCTGCCTCAACATGTTGGCTCTAAAGTTAATTTCACAATAGGACATAAATATTCTGTATTTAGGTTCGAGTCAAAGTAATACCTAACTGGAGAATGCAGACTTTAAATATGTACTATATTAAATAGAAATAAAACTTTGGCATTAAGTGATAATGCAACCATTTTTCTTGTACTTCAAAGTCATTGTTCCTTCATATACAGATGTAAAATTTTTATTTTACCACAGACTTCTAGCTTAATTTGCTTCCCTGAAAACCACAAAGCCCAGTCATTGTATAATCAATATGAAGTTATTCCAGTGAAGATAGGACTTGTGGAAGAAAGCCATCCAATGAGGAGGGAGGGAGGGATGCCTGTTTTTTTTTTTTTTTGGCTGTACCAATCTGGAGTGAAGTTTCTGTCTGACTAAACTGGGGGGTGGAAGGAAAAGAAAATGTGTTGTTTCAAATGCCACAGATTCTCATTGTTCTTAACAAATCTTGGTAAACTTTCTTGAATTTCCAGAGACTCTAAATGACTGTTGTTTTAGAATTTTCACCATTTCACTGGGCAGCTGGTCTGTGGAGCTACTCATGCTGTCATCCTGGAAGTGCCTCTCATGTCCTCATTTTTGCCCAAAATGTTTTCTTGGGTTATACTTCCAATTGTCTTCTTTAGGGGCTCTAATTATATATATGTCAGACCTCCTTTGACTACCTTCCATTTCAACTACTTTGATATTTTTTTTCCTCATTTTAATTCTCTTTTCCTATACATTTCTGGTAGGATTTTGCCTTCTTGTCCTTTTTTTTTTAATTCAATCCATTCCCCTTATATTTTTTTCTTGTCTTCTTGACCACTATTGTTCTTTGTATTTCTCAAAGTGGTTCTCAAAGTGGTTTTTTGCCCCCATACTCCCAAATGTTTATTTGAGGACATTTCATTCAGTTGAAGAGTGTCATGTTACAGTGTGGGTTTTGGATTTTTCAGTTCTGCCCTTAAGAGATTTCTTTTATAGATATACAATTATTTTATGGCTGTTTTTTGTAGGTGTATTGGGGGAGGGGTGAGGAAAGGCTATTATTTTTTGCCCCTCTTTTTCTTCCTGCAGGATCTTTAATTTCCTTGTTTTCCTCACTGCCACACCTCTATGGGGAGCTAACTCTTCTCTTTGTATCTGATTCTCCTTCAAAAGCAATGCTTCTCTGAGGCTGCATCTTCAAGTCACACTATCTTTCTATAATCATTTCCCTATAGCATGTGCTGTGAACCAGTATGTCCTGACCTGTGTTCAGTATTCTGGAACTTAGCACAAGCAAAAGCATCTTCAAAAAGTCTAATACTATTTCTTAGTTGTTCATGCCCCTCTACTCTTAAGCCTTTAGAATTTATTTCTCTAGTTAAGGCAGTTAGAAGGTTATGGTATTGTTTCCTAGTCATTCTGAAGAGATGAGTGATACACTGTTTATTTGATCACTTTTTTTAAGTCTGAGAAAAATCAAGCCGCTATCCTTTGGACAAAGGTCCAAAAACCTTTGTAATAAGACTTTTAATTATGGATTTAATGTCTTTATTAGATACAAGACTGCTTAAATTTTTCTTCACTGTTGACAAAATTGTCAGTTGTATTTTTCTGTATGTAACTTCCTGATTTCATATAAACTATCCTTGCTACTGGTAACATGTGTCTTTTCTTTCTTGATCAGTCCTTTTAAGGGAAGTGGCAGTTTTGGAAATACTGGTAAGTTCTTCGACATTTCTCTCTGCTCTCCCCTATAATCTCTGAAGATAGTGACTGCCTTCAGCCAGTAATATACTGCAGATGTGACACTATATGAATTCTGAGGCTAGGTCATAAGATGCCTTGCAGTTTCATGCTAGTTTTATGGGGATGTTAACCCTAAAGGAAGTTGCCTAAGAAATCGGGAGTGTCCTGGAAGTATAAACCTCCTTACTAGTCCATCCTGAGGAAAACACCTACCTTTTTGCCCTCACAAATCCTCAACCATTTCAGTACACTGATAAGGGCATAGTTTAGAAGGCAAAGAATTCAAATAATCAATGTTACAGTGGAAACCACAGAAGTAGAGATGTAATAGATAAAGCTGTCAGGGAGTTTTCATATACCCATATGTGAATAGCTGGTTTAATACATATATAGTCTGTTCCCCACCCCATTTCACATTAAGGGGAGGAAGATTAAGTTGTAACATGCAATGCTGAAATATCCCTACTTGTCTACCATACATGTTGCACTGCTAGGAATTCTTAAAAAAAAAAAAAAAACTGGATTAGGAAAGTTCAGAAAATACCAGCAACTAGTAGTGTCCAATTAATATTTGTTAGATGAATGTGAATGAATCAGTTCATTTTTTTCTGGCCTAAATTACCAGAAGCATAATATACAGTAAAAAGTTACTGAACTATTAATTCATATTCTTCAAAGTGTCAGTCTCTCTGGGACCATATCTTGAGAAGAGCTTATTTTCTCAACATTAAATATTTCAAAAAAGATTAAAATAATCTGTTGTGATCCATGTTTTTAGGCTAGTGAGAAAAAAATGGGAATGACTTTAATATTCTGTAGTTTTAGGGTGGGGGTCGGGGAGTAACATATTAAATGAATGAACAACTTAAAATGATTTGTGAATAACCTACCAAATCCAGGAACACTTTTGAGACTAGCTTTGAGGCAAATTTTCTCCAATCTGAGGTAGCTATATCTCATCAGACAGTTCCACAGGAACAGCCAGTCCATTCTTGTCCGATGATTCATGATAATGACACTTCTTTCCCCAGGAACAAATGCATCACCTGTTATAATCACTTTTATACCAAAAATGGTCTCCAGCAATGCCTAAGGAATAAATAATACAGACATGTAACAATTGAAAATAGTGTTTCTCAAGATTACTGCTTCTATAATCTGGAAGAATGAGAATACATAGGCTCTTTTCTATTTTTAGTTTTATTTACGTTTCTGACAGTTTCCTAATTAAATGCTAACTTTCACTGAAATCTTCAGGATATATTTTTAACTTAAAAAGTGTAAAAGACATGCAAGAAGATTCCACTGTGTAATTTTTTAAGGTTATAGATATATAAGATTATTACTTTCTAGAAAGGATAATTAACACCGAGTATAGGGCTGAGGGAACAGAAAGTCAAAATTTTCATTTTATACCTGTCTGTATTATCTTTTTAAACACATACACATATCTAACAATATATAAAGAATAAAATATATGTTTATAAAGTTCTGCAGCCTGGCATCTTCTACCTAGAAGATGCTCAAGTATTTGTTGAATTTAACTTTTCTGATAACCAGGCATATAATATATATGAAATATATAGAAGAAAATAAACAGAAGAAAACTTAATTATTGATTTCAATCCCTTATTGCAAATAATTCTTAGGTAAAAAATTTACTAGTTAAAATATGACTTCACTATTAACAGAGAGAAAACTGGTCCAAGGCAGAGAAGACATCATGAAAACCTTTATAGAAGTGTATAGCCGTACAATGGAATATGAAGCAACAATGAAAGTAAATGAACTACAGGCATCTACAACAACATGGATGGCACACAACCAGCATAATGCTGAGAGAAGCAAAAATTATAAAGAACAGCAAGGAAATGACTATCTTACAAGCTGGTTGTAACTTCTCAGCCCTCCAGCAAACCACCTACCTTCTATACTCTAGTTCTTGACCTGTTTGATAGTTACACTTTAAGTTTTACTAACTTTGGATACATATGACACAGATGAGTAGAACTTCAAAACAAACATAGGACCAAGGGAAAAAAAAAGGTTAAAAGGAGTATTAGCTAAGGAAAAGTCAGGAATGTTTTATGTCCAAAGAATTACGGAATCAGAGTGTTAAGATGTTAACAGAGTAAAGCAGATATCCCACAGATCCCAGTAAATTACTTTCCCAGAGCTGAGATTCACTTTAGGGCATGAGTGTTTAACCTAACAAGTCCCTGAAGGATGGCCTTCAAGGGGTAAATACGAACACCTCTTGAAAATGTATACATGGGTACTTTGCTAAATGCCTGCAGTTTTCATCAGATTTTCAAAAGGGTCCATAACCACTCAATTATAACCCCCACTCCAAAGTCTTGGGAAGCCAAGTCTCTATGTAGAAAGACTTCCTGATGGGGAGGATCATGGCAGAGTCCTCTAGGATTGGACCCGCAGCAGGAAATGTCTCTAAGTATATAGGACTATCACCTCCCAAAATGAATCACTGAATTATGTATCTCAGCCCAGAAGACCTGTGAAGTCACCATCTAGGGTTTATTAATTTGGATCCACTCCATTCCGCTTTCCAAATGATACAGTTTTTACAAAGAACTGAAATGCACGATGCCCTTCCCTTAACTAGTAGGAAGATAAATTTGCTAATTGTGTGTTGTACCACAGAAAAGAGTTAAAAATCTTAAAAGCCTATAAATCCCAAACCTTAACCTTCACCTTTTAAGTGCAATTTCTAATACGTCTATCCTGTGGGTCCCAAATGTCAAAATAAATCCAGACTGTTTGTCCAGGAGCATATCGTATGGCATTCTCTCCCTTGCCATCCAGCACTTCATCAGAATGTGCCTGAAAGTTATATATAACCTTTTGGACAGCCTAAATCTCAAACTCACATTAATCATTTGTAATACCAGACAAGACCTATCTAGTCAATTTATAGCTCCCACAAAGGCAGAACTACAAATATTTACTACACAGAGATAAGGCTGTAACGTCTCTAAATTGCAGAATTCAAATAATCAGATTAAAACTGATTAATCAAATAAACATTAAAAGCTGTTATAGAAAAAAATGTGAGAACAGTGTTTTTTCTAGTCTAGAACATAAACTAGTATAGAAAAACTAATCTTATAAAATTTAATAATGCTTTACAGAAGCAATTTCTGAGAATCTTATACAGACCACTCATTACTACCTCCAAGTGTTCTACCGTGTCTGAAAACACAAAGATGAGAGGTTCCCCCTCATGATCACAGAGAATCAGTTTTGCTATCACGCCCCAAGCTTTCATTTATCATTCCAATGAATATTTAGTCTGAGGTAAAACCAACTCTCTGGCGCTCCCCATCTCCCAATCTGCTTAGGCTTTTCAGGCTCCACTTAGGCCTAGCTCCTCAAATCCTTAGCTATTTAAGGCCTTGAAATCCCAAGTCATTCATCAAACACGGTACTCCTTCTCTTAGCGGCAGTCTAGGCAGAAATGGCAGAAATTATACCCTGTATCTGTTGAACACCTGTTTTGTTCTAGGATTGGACTGGAATCAGCAGACTGTGGAAGAGACTTGTGTCCTAGGTGGGGAGTTAGCAAATGATCTCTCAATTCCTGAGTCATGACTAGGGTGAAAGGACAGAACTCCAAATAATTTTCATAATCCCAGGTTATTAGCTAACAACTGGACTGTTGGAAAGACTCCAAATTTTGAGACGCAATAAGTGCACTGGGCACATGCAAAGTCTGACCTTGACAATATTGATTATGCTGAACAGAACTGTCCTAAAACGAAATGAATAAAGACCTACACTCCCCACTGTAGGTATGTACCGAGAGAGACTGGTCACTCTGCAGACTGTTCTGGAAGGAATTCTTACACAGATAGGTTAGACTAGGTGACCTCCAACTCTAAGATTCTAGAAGATTTTACTGTGGTACCGCATTTAACACACAAAATGTGCTCCTTAAAAATGGTAAGAGAAGAAAAATCTTGTCAATGAAATAATTTTAATGCACAAGAGATGCTTACAAAAGAGATCACATTATGATTATTTCTGTGAAGTAATTAGTTTAAGTGCATTTACCTAATCTATTATTAGTGAACATTTTTTTAACTGGGATTGCTTAAAATAAAGTATGTGTATAGCAAAGACTAAATTCTCACTGAGTAAAAAAATTATTTGCTTCTAATTAAAACTCCTTTAGCATCCTGTAAAAGTGTGAAATAAAAGGTCATAAAAGACACCCTGACAATTTTTTGTAACCTAGTTATAGGGCATTCAACTTCTATAAATTTCTTAGCTGGAAGACTCTGCTTGATATGCCCTTACTCAGAATCAAGGCAGTGAGTTAAACAGGTAGTAGAAGTTTTTTCAAATATACACTAATTTAATACTACAGTGGTGGTTGAATTTTGCGTATGTATTATGTTCTGAACTCAGGTAATAAAGCAAAAGTCAGGAAGAGCTGAAACTTAACCCTTGAAAATCTCTCAGAAAGGTACCTCAGGGAGACCAGTACACTAAATATATCCAGCTCAGCCAGTTTTTTCTGAAGACTGTTGCAAAAGCTTTCTCCAGCTGACCATCAGATGAAGTGACTGGTATACATGCTGTTTGAAACACAAGAATTATACTCAGTACAACACCCCTCACATTTCCCATTTCCTCTCACTTTCAGTGGAGGTGGGGGCAACCCTAGATTTAAAAAAACAAAAAAAACAGCATTCTTATCTTTCCACTCTTCTCTCATCCACCTTAGTGCATGTAATTGGGAGTTGTATAAAGACTTGTACCATAGTGTATGGTGTAATGCTGTGTGATAGTAACAGTACGAAGAGTAATAGCAGAAGCAGCTATGGCAGAATTTGTCCGGTGAAGTCCAGCATTTCCTCCAGAGTAATAGATTTTAGTTATGTACCTAGCTGCCCAGAGGAAAGACCATATTTCCCAGATGTTATTACAGCGATTCGCTGTTCCCTCCAATGCGGTGAGCAAGAGAGATAGCTGCTATTTGTAATTCACTGATTTAAAGGAAAGCACTTGCTCTGGACTTCCTCCCAGACCCACTTCCTGCAGAGTGGGGCAAAAAAGTGGTAGTGACCAGTCCTGACCATATAAAAGAGTATTATGCCAGGCTGGGTGGAAAGAATCTGAGTCCCTGAATGACATCAGGGAGAGAGCTACCCTGCCAATTACTCAAGCCACTGTATTCTGAAAAGGCTATATTGACTACCTCATTTCATCATCAGAATAACTGTCTGAGATAAGTAGGTAGTATTAGAACCCCCGTTTTTCAAATGAAAAGAGAAGTTTAGGGAGGCTAAGTAGCTCCGCCAAGTTCAAACAACTAGAAAGTGGTAAGGCCAATAGTGAAACCAAATGTCTGTACCAATAAGCACTCTACTTACATTGGTTCTGCAACGAAAATAGATTGATTGTGGACACTAAAGCATTGCAATTGCAATGATTCCTACCAATGTAGTAACTACAAGAAAATTTTCAAAACCCTTCAGGTTTTGGTAGAGAGAAGTGGCCAAAAATGTGATTCATACTCAAAAGATTAAACACTGGGGCGCCTGGGTGGCTCAGTTGGTTAAGCGACTGCCTTCGGCTCAGGTCATGATCCTGGAGTCCCGGGATCGAGTCCCACATCGGGATCGAGTCCCACATCGGGCTCCCTGCTCAGCAGGGAGTCTGCTTCTCCCTCTGACCCTCTTCCCTCTCATGCTCTCTCTCATTCTCTCTCTCTCAAATAGATAAATAAAATCTTTAAAAAAAAAAAAAGATTACACACTGGAAAATTTAAGACATTAAATAAAATGAAATGTAAAACAATGTATGATTACTACCAAAAAATCATTTACCTCTAAATGTTTGCCTTAGAATCAGATACACAATGCTGAATCTGGAATGGCTCACTCCGATTTCCTTATTTTACAGATGATAAAATAAAAATCTTAAAAAAGTTATGTAACTGACTTGAAAAAAGTTAAAAGTTTTCTAAATGAAATGTCTGGTTTTATAATGACCATAAATAGCATTAGTTAACATTTAAATAGCTTATAGAGGACTTTTTAGAAATACCTACTTTTGACAGTTAACCTTATGTGAACTGGGCATTATGTGCTTATTTTACTTAATATAAGTATGATATTTTATGGAAAAATACTCATTTTGTAAATAAGTCAGTCCTAGTGGGTAAGCAACACCACAAAACAAATAATTCCTATTAAATGGTCTGTTTGAAGGCTGCAATGAAACAATGGACTTCATATCTTTAAAGCTAATTTAAAAATCTACCTCTAAAAACTTCATGGTCTGAGAAGTCACCTTCTGTCCTCTAACAAAGGAGGCAGTCTCTCAGGCGAATGAAAGACAGAAACTAGTCAAGCTGTGTATATCTACAAGTAGGCAGAACACTATTACCTCCACGAGGCCAGAAGTCCTATCTGTCCTGTTTGTCATTACCTTCTAGCAATATGCTTGGCACATGGTAGACACTTAATAAATAGTTGCTGGATGAATGTTCCAGGACCCTGCTGATTACTTTTGCCATAAACAACAGTTAACAAAACTTACCAAAAAATCCTTCCTTCTATTATGAAAGGAAAAAGAATATTTGTATAAATGTATAAGGAGGATCCATACTGATAATTTAAGAATATTACAAATTTTCAAAGTACTTCCTACAGGAAAAAAACAAGATGAGGAAGCTCAGAACATAATGAAACCAACAAAGAACCCAATATAAATTCTAGAACTTGAAAGTACGGTATTTTAAATAGAGGTAGCAGAAGAGAGGGTCAGTGAACCTGGTGACTTGTCAGAAATCATCATGCCACTGAGACTGATTTTACTAGTAGTTATCAGTTTCTCAAATTTTTTTCCCTTGAGGCATTCCCTGGCTTGAAAGAACTCCAAACTTTCTTCTTTTGAAACAATCATAAGGTCCCAGTGCATTTCTTACCACTGGAAGTTAAAGTGCCATGTGACCCTGACCAATCCTTCAAGGTTTTCCTATCACCTAAGGCTCTAATGGCAGCAAACTGAGTTTAAGCTCAGCTCTAATTAAATAATTTGCTTATGCATCTGACCTCCAGCAAATTATTTAATTTCTCAAAGCTTCTACTTCTTCTGTAAATTGGGGATAATGGCAGTGCCTGGAAGGAAGGCATCCTAAAGTACTTATTAGCACAGTATCTGCCTCATAAGTGCTTAACAGCTATGACCATCATTACCCTTTAACAAAGTCTTGTAATTCTTCTCCTTAATCTGGATTAAATATGCAACCATAAGCAGTTATAGTTATTTATCATCTACCAGTTAGGCTATAGTCCCTTTCTTTATGCTTACAGATTAAGTGCAAAACCAGAAAAGAAAGGGGGAAGAGGAGAGAAGGGAGGGACAGACGGAGAGAGGGGACTACTTTTAGTTTAACGTGATCACATTTCATAAAACAGTTATCTGAATAATTTTTTTAAAAAATTAACCTTTGACAAAGGACAAATGCAATTCTTAAAATTAGTCACCACAGGAATCCTTTTTAAAATATGAAGAGGGTGCACTGTAATAGCTCCCCACAACATTAGCATACTTTCCTCTCCGCAGATATAACAAGGGCGGGCTGCCTGAGGGGAAAAGCGCAACACAGTTCAAAAGACACAGGTGGAAAAAGATCCTTCAGCAACTGAAGGACAAGGACTCCCTCCTTATTTTCCTGGTTGGGTATATCCTCATCACCCCCACCATGACTGCTCCATAAACCCAGTAACATTAAGTTCTAGCTGTGCTCAGAAGAAAGAAAGAACAGAACAGTCTTGTATTTCCTAAATACAAGCTATTCAAGGTAAAGGCAGTGCATGGGTGTCACTCCATTTTTGGAGAAGGCATTACTGACTAGCAGCAACATGGAAGGGCCGAAGCAGCTTTAGTCCAGACGAGGGAGGAGGCTGGACTGGAATCCTAGAGGATGTTGCCAACTCAGAATCAGGGAGATGTATGCACTGACCTTGCAGAGAATACCTGTCTGTTCCAAGAATCTACTACACGTTTACCTTACAGATGCTGTCACTCTAGCCCAGAGATGGGAAACCACTTTATTCCTAAATTCTGTGGTTACTGGGAAGAATTAAATCAATCACATCAATATCAAGAGTTCAAAAAAAGTTTATCTCAACCTTTATTTTTGCCATTATCTTGTAAAATAAATGGAAACACAAAATTAATGATGTAAAAATTCTTCAAAGTATATGTTGATGAAGGAAAATAAACTTCATGAGGAATATAAAAGAAACTCTTAATTTTGGAATATGGCTCTTAAGATATTTTACTTCAAGGACATGAATTATATTTAATTCTCTAGTTCCTGTATTTCCTCCAGAAAGGATCCAGAAAGGCTTTATAGGTTTCTTCTAACATTTGACTAAATCTGACTCTAACAAAATAAAAATTGGTCAGCTGGGCCACTTTGGTCCAGTCTCCTTATCAGGCGTGTAACTTACCACAGGCAGTGTGAGCCAGGTTGCCACAAGGCGGTTGTTGATCCAGCGATACCAAGATGGGCTTACAAACATCAAAGGTAAAAAGGGGCCGAGCATAAAAATGCTTCCGAAAAAACTTCCGCAAAATAGAGTAAGTATAAAGTAAATCCCTTTCCATGACACCATGATTCTGAAAGATATAAAAAATATATATATATTTTGTTACTACACATATATCTGCCCAAATTGAAAATGCATAAAATAATCTTTCATTACAGGGCTACAGAAAAGCCTCGGATAAAGAATATAAGAGCTTGAATACCATAAAGGTAACCCTCTTACATGTCCTACAGGTCTAACAAACTTCTAGTACATTAGAAATCAATATTCTCAGACTAAATGTCTAACCTAAAAAAAAAAAAGCTGACTCATTTAAGAAGGCTTTGTTTTTTTTTTAAAGATTTTATTTATTTATTTGACAGAGAGAGACACAGCGAGAGAGGGAACACAAGCAGGGGGAGGGGGAGAGGGAGATGCGGGGCTCGATCCCAGGACCCTGGGATCATGACCTGAGCCGAAGGCAGCCGCTCAACCAACTGAGCCACCCAGGTGCCCCAGAAGGCTTTGTTTTTTTTAACTGGTTATTAGTATTAACATAAACCTGTAGAAGTTACCCAACACAAAACCTTAAAACATTCCAGAGGTTTTTTTTGTATCCTACTATAAAGATTAGACTTGATGGACCAAGAATTACAGAACAGCTTCCTAAGAGTGACTATGCCTAAAAGTGTTGGCAATTTTAGAGTGCACTAAATTTTTTTTAAAAACCTAGAAATGTTAATTCTTCACATTAGAACCTAAAAGTTGTATCTTTGGGCAACTTATCTTAAACTGGCTTTTTCTTTATGAGCTGAAAGATTAAGTAGAAGTCAGATTCCTCACTCTCCTAAACTATTTGCCAAAAGATTACTTTCAGGGTCCTCATAAACCAGAAACACTTAATATTGACATTTTTATTTTTATTTTTATTTTTTTAAAGATTTTATTTATTTGACAGAGAAAGACACAGTGAGAGAAGGAACACAAGCAGGGGGAGTGGGAGAGGGAGAAGCAGGCTTCCCGCTGAGCAGGGAGCCCGACGCGGGGCTCGATCCCAGGACCCTGGGATCATGACCTGAGCCGAAGGCAGACGCTTAACATCTGAGCCACCCAGGCGCCCCTTAATATTGACATTTTTAAATAAACTTGGAAACACAGTTTAAAATGAATAATCAAACATTTGATTTTATTACCTAAACAAGAGCAAAAATATGGGTTGGCTCAGGATAATAAAACTGTTAGAATCATTAAAATTATGAAAACAATAATGGCCTTAAAGGTATTCCAGTGATCAAGAGCTGTGATCCTTTTTAAGTATTCAGAACAGGAAACAAAATTTCAAATGTCAAAGTGCTTTAATAAATGTCAGACAATAAAACAGGTCAAATCCCTTACACAGATTCCAGTTTATCTGGGTGTGGAGTAGGTTTTTAAATCTCTACCAGTACTTGACAGTATGTATACAAAATCCTTCCACGTACAGAGAAAGAGTGTCTGAGAACTGGTTTTTTGCTAAACTCGCGATCTGAACTTCGAAGTGAGGGCGGAGAGAAAGACCACCGAAGAGCAGAAGCGGAATACCTGGCGGGCCCAGGACAGTATGTGTTCCTCCACACCCTCAGCCTCGCTTTCTGAGGCCCAAGCTCTCCTCTTTGCACTGAAAGAAGACACTTAGGCAGCTTATCTCCAGTCTTTACAGGAAAGCTTTTTTAAAAGAGGAAAAAGAAAAAGACAATCCGCAGCACTGCTCCTCTACCTGAAACCCTCTAAGGACCCTCTGTGGCTCTGTTTGTTTCTGCCCACGAGCCATTTGCTGTCTAGACACTTACCCCTAAACTCCCTGAAGAGCTGGGCTTCACACTCTATCTACACATATCCATCAAAGCCTCAGACATGCTTTTTCCTTGCTTATTAAACTATTTCTCATTTGATGTGATTAAGCTCTTTTATGTATATTTTTTCTTTTAGATATTGATATCATCTAATAAAATCTTTTCATTTTACATTGATCAAGCGAAGAACCAGAAGAGTTACGATGACTTACTTTCCTAAGTCCCCATAACCAGCTGGTAGCACCAAGTCTTTTCTGCCTTTTACTTCCTTCCAGGATATTTGGCCACCTCCCTCCCACTGAAGGGCTGGGAATCAGAGACCCGAATCAGCTTCTAACCACGTGTTTGTAAACACAGACTCAGATATAAAAGGATGTGTCCCATGAACTTACTGGGGTTACTGAGGCCAAGTCTAATCTAAAATTACTTTTCCATCAAGCTCCTGCCTTTTCTTTAACCTCTTGATCATTTGTTCCATGACTCAATAAACATACAAAGAGATTCCTGTGTGCCCAAGGCCCTGTGTTAGTTACTTGGGGACACCACCGTGAGTATGACAGACATACCAAGCTCTTGCAAATCTGAGCCGTTCTACTGCCTCCTCAGGAACTCTTCCCTGGCTCTGTATTTAATCCAGCTCCATTCTGCCTACTTCCAAGTCTCATGGGTTTCACAGACAAAATGGTTAACAATTATGACAGCTACACACTTATTTAGAATCGCTAAAATTGAAAAAGACAAAACAAAAACCTGGCGAGGGACGCCTGGGTGGCTCAGTCGGTTAAGCGTCTGCCTTCGGCTCAGGTCATGATCCCAGGGTCCTGGGATCGAGTCCCACATTGGGCTCCCTGCTCAGCGGGGAGCCTGCTTCTCCCTCTGCCTGCCGCTCCCCCTGCTTGTGCTCTGTCTCTCTCTCTCTGACAAATAAATAAAATCTTTAAAAAACAAAACAAAAACCTGGCGATACCATGTACCAATGAGGATGCAGAAGAGTAAGAACTCAAACATACTGCTGGTGGCAAGGCAAAGTAAAGTATTACGTATGCTTACTGGATAACCCAACAATCCTACTACTGAATATCTGGGACAAATGAAAATTTCCGACAACACAAAAACCTGTATACCACTGTTCACAGCAGCATTATTCATACTGCCAAAAACTGGAAGCACCCCCAAACAGGGGGCAGGGGGAGATGGGTAAACAAATCCATAGACCAGATACCTTTAGTTTCTTGCTCAGGAAGGAAACCTCTTTTCCTTCATAAAATGCCCTTATTTAATCACCTCACAATTGAAATGTTAACTAGCATTGCTCCCATAGTCTAATAGGTATACTAAGAAGTAACTGCAATTCAATGTGATGTATGCTACAATACAGGATATAATGGAGCATGCAGTGTGTGTTAAGGATAGATCAAAGTAAGGCAGGATGAACTCTGCTAAAAGGGATTAAAAAATGCACTAGACTCTTGGAGGATGTGAGGTTGGGGAAGGGAAAGATAATTCCAGGTAGTAAAACAGAACATGCGGAGTCATAGAAATCTGAAACAGCATCGCTTAAGCAGGGAACTGTAACTCATCAGATACTACTGAGGTATAGTGTACACAGTGGGGAGCTGCAAGAATCACAAGAGCACAGGTCCTAGGACAAAGTACACACACCCAGGCCAGCCAAAAATACCATCTTTGACATGTCACCAAGAAAAAACCTAAGGCCTATGACTCATATTTTGGGATAAGTGATAATGGTGCATATAAGCATCAATGCAATGAGTGAATGGATTGGTTTTGTTTAAAAACCTTAAGAGCAAAGAGCTTCTTTTTAAAACGGGCAGGTACATGGAACTTGTTGGCAAAAATCCTAGCAATGACAGATGCTGGTATCAGAGCAGTCTATGAGCCAAGAGCATCCGACCCAGCTCCACAACGCAAAAGCTGATGATCATGACCACATCACTTAACCTGGATGCTTACAGATGGGGAGGTTGGAGAAAATTCTCAAAGGCCTACCTTTTGAGCACCTAATATTTGCCAGGCACTTTACAGAAGGCTCGTGGTAGTTACATATTCAACACCTACACATTCAATTATTCATGAGCAACTAAAAGGTCCTTAACCTGTAAATACTCCAAAATTTTGATGAAACTCAAAATCTGATTACTCCAAGGCTGGGGTCAAAAAACAAATCATTTAGGTAATAATAATTATCTGGTCAAACTGTCCAGTATCCTAATCTCAGTGGCCCTTTATTCTGTTTTACTTACCTCATAAGCATGTGGTGGGGCAAGTCAGATGCATAGTGGATTTGTAAATTTGAGATTTTAAAAGAACCTTACTCTCTACTTTGATAATGTCAAGTGTGTCTTAAAATAGGCACTTTACATTCTCATATAATCCAAACATGAGCCTCAAAAGTAAAGTAGCAATAATATCCGTGGTATTTCCAGCTAAAGAAATAAGAGACTTGGTTCCGTAACGCTGTTCATACTGACAGAGGTGAGATAAAGAACCTCTAACCAGGGGCACTCCCAGAAAATGCAGTGGAGAGTTTGGAACCGGTACCAGAAAGATTTAAAGGCCAAAAAGTAAATAATAAGCAATAAAGTAACAGAGTTAATTAAGCATACTGTTTAAGCCTTGTCTTCTCTGAAGAAAGTAAAACTAGGCTTCTGGACTAGGGGATACACAGTGGGATTAAATAACCATACACAGAGAATCCTGAATCGGAGACCTAGTCTTTCCTCACTGGGCTTTCCAGTGGCTGGGAACAAGATCTCAGTCCTACTCCAGCGTTCTCCAATAAAACTTCCTGCAGTGATGGATATGTTCAGTAGCTGTGCTGTCTAGTATGATAGCCACGCTATATGTGGCTATCGTGCACTTGAAATGTGGCTAATTCAACCGAGGAACCATTCATTCGATGTGGTGAGTGGCTACTGGACAGAACAGCATGGCTCTAGGCAGACTACTGGAGCATCAGTAGATCTTGTGGATCTGGGGATCTCACCAGACTGTGAAGAAAGATCAAATATAGAAGCACTGAAGGCTCCTTAATAAATGGTCCACCTAAATCACCCTACAGTGAGGCCCAAAGTTCATGGAAGCCTCACCTACATACAAGCTCCTAATTGGCTTTTTAAGTCCCCTATTTTTTATTGTGAGCAGATAATGAGCCATCTGAGAAAAGCCTTTAACATGACATTAAAGACTAAGAAAAAAGTATACTTGAGGGAAAATATTCAAGAAGAAGAAAACTATC